TCCTCATCTCCCTGCTCCAGCACTCACTCTGGGTAGCAGGTAGGGAAGTGACAGGGGCAAGAAGGGGGAGACAGGGAGCTGCAGCTGAGTGGGGACAGGGAGCTCAGGTGGGCAGAGTGTGGGTGTGAAGGAGGGTTGGGTGTGGGGACACACTCACCCTCCCATAGTGGACAGCCCCCTTTGCTGGCAGCAGCAGCAGGTGGCAGGACCTTGGAGAACTTGTGACTCATGCAGGCACTGCTGCCTGGCAGTGCACGGCTCTGGCCAGAGTTGCACGTGGCAGCAAGCTGCGCAGCTAGGCCGGCCCACCTCTATTGCATGGGGCTCCTTGCAGCACACGTGCAGCTACTGGTGCTCACAACCAAAGCAAAGCTCCATATGATGGAGCCAGTTGCCTTCCCCACTCGCTACCACCACATGCAGGTCCCGGGACTCTGCTGGGAAGCAGGGGACCGGGCTCCCCTCAACTTCTGGAGGAGTCCCAGGACCTGCACAGCAGGGAAGGCAGCCAGCTCCATTGCCTGGAGCTTTGCTTCCATGGCGGATGCAAGTGCCCGGAGCTGCACGAGCTGCAGGGGGCCCCCATGTGATAGAGGTGGCCTGGTCTGGCTCTGCTCCTTGCCACCACATACAGCTCATGCCTATAAAAAAATAGGGTGACCATATGTTCTAGTTTGCCCAGGACAGTCCTGGATTCCATAAGCTGGTCCTGGCCAGTTGGTCAAAAGTCCTGGGCTGGAGTCCAGCGGGGAGGCAAAGTAGCATAGTACCAAACAGATGAGTGGGCATGCACTGCTGCTGCTCTGCAGGAACAAAGTGGGCATACATGGTCACCCTGGGCATTTTTACATGTTCTCCAGAGGAGGGGCATTTTAATTAAAGCAGCTCCAATATCCACTCTAATTAAAGCTCCTGCTGCGTCTCGTGTATCAGCATCCCCATGCTTCAAAATGGCAATGGGGGTGCTTTAAAACTCACTGAATGAGCTTTAGTTAAAGTGCCCACACTGCCATTTTGAAGTGGGGGGACACTGATACACAAGACAGAGGCTGCTGGAGTGCACTAGTTAGCATGCTCCATGAGATTCGATTAATAGAATCTGCTCTGACATGCTATAATTACAGCACATTGCAGCAGCCTCCCTGCACACCTACAAGCACCCCCTAAGATACTGCATATCCAAAGTCCCTGCATTCCTTGATCCCACACAACAGCAGTGGTGCCTGTCTGCCACATCATGCCCCACTGGACTCCAGCCCAGGACTTTTAACCAACCGGCTGGGACCAGCCTATGGAATCCAGGACTGTCCTGGCCAAACCAGGATGTACGGTCACCCTAGCCAAACAGATGGGTCCCACCATGCAACAGCACAACTCACAGCTACCCATAAGGCACCCAATCACGCAAAATTCAGAGTGCCTTACCCCCATTGGCTAGGGACCGACATTACACATAAATTGGTTTAAGTGATCAGAAACTGGTTTAAATCTGTAACAGAACAGACATTCAGTGCACATAAACCAGCTTCAAAATGGCCGAAACCAGTCTGAGATAAATCTGGTTGAATGTAGTATCAGACATAACTGATTGAGCTCAAACTAGTTTATACAATGTCTGTCCCAGACCCCTTCCTGTTTTAAGTTAGATCAGAGCCCTCCAGCATCCCAGCATGCTCTCTGGGTGGGCCTGTACTCTCTGCTCCACAGCAGGGCTGGCCCCACTCCTCTGTTCAAGCCTCAGCAGGGACAGAACATGGTGAGACACCAGCTAGCATAGTCCTGTTAAAGCAAAGTGGGCAGAGAGGGGGATTTATTCTTCTCTCCTTCCCCACCACAGCCAGGGTCTGCCTGTCTGCCAGGGAGCAGAGGGGAGAAGCTTGTAGCAGTGGCTTTTGTGGCTGGCAGAAGGGACCAGAAGGGATGGAGGGACGAATGAACCCTTTTCCCTGCCCCTTTCACCCGGGGCCTCAGTGAGCCTCTGTGCCTGGCAGCTGCTGGGCTCCTGGCCCACGGCCCCTCCAACCCGGCTTCGGTAAGCTGCAGCCCAGCCAGCCACTGACCACATACACCAGGCTGTACTCACTGACACGGCTCAGCGTCCCCATCACCAAGCTGCACCTGCCAGGGGTGGTCCTGCTCTTGCAGCCCTGTCTGGCCCCGCTGTACAGCTGCCTTCACCAGGGATGAGCGAGGCTAGTCCAGGCCGCAGCTGCTGGGGGGGGCAGGGCTACCCCCAGCAGCTGCGGCTCTGTTACAGCCGATCCCTGCACCCCAACTAGGCTAGCCCATGCAGTGCTGCACAGAGCACCCCTCCCCGCACTGTAGCCTGGTGGGGAGGAGGAGGGGAAGGAGTTCCCCTCAGCACTGAACAGAACCCCACTCCCTGCCTCGCAAAGTGGGGGTGGGGAGTGGTGGGGAAAAGTCCCTCTGAGGCTGGGCAGCATCGCATAGAGCCCCAGCTCCTCACCTTGTGTTGGTGGTGGGGGAGGAGCAGGGGGAAGAGTCCCCCCCAGTGCCAAACAGAACCCCGCTCCCTGCCCAGTGGCAGTGATGGAGAGGGAGGAAGAGAAAGAGTTCCCCTCTGGGGATGGGCAGCCCTGTGTGCTGGGATTGCTCCTGGCTGTCAGGAAACCACTCGGGTAGGCAGAGATCTGCCTACAAAAACCTCCCTGCACCACCGCGGAGCCATGCTCAGAGCTATGCAGCTGGCTGCAGGGTGGTGGCAGCAGCGTGGTGGCATCCGGGTAGCACACAGCTATCCCCACCACCATCCCGTGCTTCACTGCGCCACAGCCATGGCTGCCACCACACTGCCGCTGCCATCCTGCGGCCAGCCACACAGCTCCGCAGCAGCAGCAGGAGGTTTTGTATGCAGTGGCCATCACTACTGGCAAACAGCGGCCGCTGGTGCTTACCTGTGAGGTTGCCCATGCTAGCGGTAAGGGCTGCTGCATAGAGAACCTCCCCACTGCGCTGCGGAGCAGCGCAGCTGGTCACAGGGTGGCAATGGCAGTGTGGTGATGGCCATGGCCATGGCGCGGGATGGTGATGAGGATGGCTGTGCGCCGCCCTACTACCACCACACTGCTGCTGCCACCCTGCAGCCGGCTGCACAGCTCTGGGCACAGCTCCACAGCGGTGCAGGGAGGTTTTGTAGGCAGCGGCCATCACTGCTGGCATAGACCTATAGGTAAGCAGCAGCGACTGCTGTGCATGAGCCCCCCCCAACCCTCATCCCTCACCGCCGCTGCAGAGCTGGCCACGGAGATGTGTAGCTGACTGCATGCCAGCCTCCTCCTCCCCCGGGCAGGTGGCCAGGGGCATATGTGCAGCCTGCACATGGAGGGCACCACCCCACTGTGCCCCACATCACTTGCCCACAAAGCCCCCCACAGAGGGGCACCGCTGCCCTCACCCCCTGTACCCCTGCCTTCATCATCCTGGCCCTGCTTCTGGCTACGGTGTGCCACCTGAGGCCAGCAGCATCCCCTGCTCCCTCAGCCCCCAACCATCTTCCCCAGCCCTGCCCCACAGCCCTCAAGCCCCATTTACCTCTAGGATCCAGAGGCAAAGGGTATAGCTCCGCAGTGGCAGCACTTACCCACAAAGACCCTCAGCTAGCACGCAGCCACCACCACCACCACCCCGCACTGCCACAGAGCTGTGCAGCTGGTCTCGGGGCATAAGCAGCGGTGCTGTGGCAGCAGCGGCTTGCAAGTCCCCCTTTCCACCCCCTGGCTGGGCGGCACGTATATGGTCCGCGCACGGTGGCTGCCACTGCACTGTTGCTGCCGCACCCAGCGCCACTTGCCCACAAAGTGGTGCAGGTAGCTGTGGGATGGTAGCACAGGGTGCAGTGGCAGAGTTGAGGTGGTGGCCTCCGTGTGCGAACCCTGTCAGGCTGGCCAGCATGTGTGTGGCCCTCAGAGTGGCACCCCTGCCCTCACCCCTTTGCCCTGCTCCTGGGAGTAGGCACAGGGGCATGCTCCCCCCTTTTTGATCACCCCCCCAGCACCTTCCCTTCCCCCCCTGCCCCTTCAGCCCCCCACACACTTACCTGCTGGGGTGGGTGTCAGTGTCTGTGTGCGCCTCTGTGTCTGCATGTCTGTGCCAGTGTCTGGGGGGCTGTTGTGAGGGGCATCAGGAGGGCTGTTGAGGCTGTAGGGAGGAGTGCGGGGCACCAGCAGTGCTGGTGGGGATTGTAGGGAGCCTTTAATTTTTAATCACAGATCTGGGGTTTTTAAATTAGAGAATTTGTAATTTTTAAATCAGAGAAAACCAGGATCCCCAATTATCCCAATACTGGTTTGCAGCTGGTATGAAGCAGCAGGGAGATGGAGATTGAAAAGCTCAGCATCATCAACAGATGCATACACTGCACACCTGCCCTCTACCTCAGAGTGCTAGCAAGGGGCTGGGGGCTGGAAACACTCCTGCCCCTTGAGTAGTAAGCAAGGAAAAGCCTGGGATGATGCAGGCCAGGGTGGGGTTTACACCACTCCCTAATCAGAGTGCCCTGCTGGGGCTTGGCCACACCCTCCCCTCAATTCAGCACTGTGGAAGAGAAGAGAGGGATGCTCTAGCACCCCCTGCCTTCTATTTTTAGCCACTGTAGGCATGTGCTTGTATTTCTTCAGTCCAGAGGGAATGTCTTTACAGTTGCAAACCAGTTCAACCTAGGCAGGTTAAACTAACATGCAAAGATTGAATCAATTCAGGCTCGGACTTTTTGAAAGTCTGTCCATAGACTAGGAGATGGCAGTGTTCCAAACAGGATTAAAGGTGAAGGAAGGAGAAAAAAAAAAAAAGTCTTATTAGGGAAATCTTTACCTCCTTAAAATAAACAAACAAACAAATCACAATGGGCTGTTGATCTTCTCAAGGAGCATAATTACTAAACATCTCACATACCAATTATTTTTGATAAATTTTTGATATAAAAGCCCTACAAAATCTTTTTTACGCAATAGATGTACCATGTACCCTCCTCCACTGCTCACCTGTTTTTAAGATGTGCTGCCAGATCACATCGTTGCATTACTTCCTGACATACTGAAGAAAAGGGGCATAAAACAAATAATTTGTCTAACAGTTTATGAACAAGGATACTGGATTTCTTGCAGAGCTTAAAATGGAGCCTTTTCCGATCCAATGGACAGAAATCTTTCTCCTGTAAAAAGTTCCTTAGGCACTTGTGACAGAATGTGTGTCCACAAGGGGTATCCAGTGGCTGCAACAAGGGCTGAAGGCAGATATGGCAGACCAGGTCATCATCCACTTCATTCTGATAGTTGTACAAGTGGTTCTCTCTTGTCCAGTGCTGTTGGCCGCATTCAAAGCACAGAGGGTTCAAGGAAGGGTTGTGCTCCACTGAAGCCATTTCATCATTTGTGGTACCCATTGTACCAAACAAGGGCAGATTTTGCTAGACTTGTTTGGTAGTCTTTTTTTTCTTTCTAAAGACACATGACTTGTATTCTTTCATGAAGTGTCATTTTCTGCAACAGTCAAGAAAATTAAAATTATTCAGGCAGTATAAATATGAAAACTATGATTAGAGCTACTTAAATTGCTCTTGGTTACAAAAAATATATTCAAATGCCATAATCAGATTAACAGATTGTTTTTCCAGTTAGAAAATTCATCATAAGAGAATAAAATGGAAAAAAAAAATCTATAGTATTGATTGTCTTACAAAAGAAACATTTTATTGCTGTCAGGTGTTACATGGCAAAGCTTGCACCTACAAAAGAACTTTCATGTAAACAGCAGGGATACTATATTATGCTACCTTTCTAGGTGCGAGTAATCAGTGACTAAGATAAAAATATCCCATTGTAGAATAAATGTTATGTGACCAATTAATCAAATGTACCTTCTAATGTGCTTTTGTTCAGCATTCTGGTCCTGTTTCGTTTTTAAGACTTATGCTATGCAAGCATAGTGCTACACATGAAAACTTTTAAAGTATATCACTTCTTAAAATTAATTTTAGTGGTAGCTCAGTATGTGACATCCCATAAAGAATATGAACTCTGGTCCCACACATACACACACACACGTGCGTCATCCTTACAAGACTACTGAACATTAAAAGAGAACAGATTCTACCATGAGTGACAGACGCCTCCTGAATCGGGGGGGGGGCGGGGCACCTGCAGAAGCTGCTGATGGTGGCGGCCCTGTCAATGGGGGCACCAGCCCTACTGACAGTATGAGTGCTGGCTGTTGGGGGAGGGGAGGAGGAGGGCATGTGCACCCCCTACCAGTAGCCCATGGATTCTACCCAACATGAAATGTTTGATTTAAAATATCAAGGTGAAAAAAGTCAGAAAGAAGATTTGATACAAAACTGATCATACACTGTGTTCCACTCATTCCAGGAGACTTGTTTGCTCCTACATCTAACAACGTTAAGCCCATGGCTCACTCACATGGGAAGAATTTGCACCCCGTGAGGATTTTTATACAGAGCCAACATTCCATCCTCCCTCATTACAATACTTCACTTGTAACCCATACGCATGCTAACTTGAAGAGTTACAACAAGAATCAGAGTCAGAAACTAGACAGCTTAGCCATCCTGTCACAAAAACTTAATTTCTGCATCAGACAAAATTAGTAAGAGTGGTTGGCTACATATCACATCTTATTCCAATTTTGTCTCCCCTTACAAAACTGTACAATGACTACTGTTTGCAAGTGGAATGTTTTTGTTTGAGCAGGGGAAAATAATCTAACATGTTTTAGCTATTTTCTCTCTGGATAACAATTAGTTCTTTAGAAGTTTCTTTGTACTGCTGTTGATTAAAGATGTCTGTTTTAACTTTAAATTTGTAAAAAAAAAAGTGGCAGGTACTAGTCATATGAAAAAGCTTACTGGATATCAGTAAAATAACTACATATCTCATAGATAAAAGTGGCTAATCTAAGAACACCATACTTGTTTTTAGATACTGAAATTTAGCTATAAATACATGCATTTTAAAATTCATTGGGAGTGTATAGATTTTACCATGCATTATACTTCCTAATAAAACCTGTACTTTTTTCCCTCAACATCACAGAGCTGAACACAAGACTTAGAGCACATTTTACAAGGATTATGATACCCTTTGATGCAGAAAGGATTAAACGGTAATTTGTAATCCTGGATTCCATACTACAGAGGAAACTGATGCTCCTCATTGCCCTATCTTCTAATAGATAATGTTCACCTTCTGGAAAGGATTTGAGGCAACAGGGCAGCAGTTCTTTGTTAATGGTTAAAAATGAATGCAAATGAAACCCCAAAGCAGATTACATGGAAGATAGCCTTAAATATATTATCTAAGGAAACAAAGATTTGAAAAGGAGATTAGAAACCTAACGCCAAGACTTTTCCTTTGGATACAATGGAATGTCTAACCTGCACATTTATGCTGCTCAATCACATGAAAGTATATGTCTTTCCTGAAGAGTGCTCTTCACACCAGAAACTCAGCCAGAACATAAGTGTTCTAAGAAAATGTAAGTATTCTTCCAAAGAGCATCTGGACATTACAAGATTATTGTTCACTGTGTCGTGTCCCAGGCACATCTGAACAGAATGCAGCAGGTACAGCTTGTTCTAATATTTCAGTGTTTTCACTGTAATGTTAAAAAGACCAAACCAGCCGAGCAGGGGCAAAAAGGAGAAAAGCAGTAAAGCCACTTTTAAAGGAATATCATCGGAAAGTCATGCCCATGCCAGTTATTAACCATAATCAACATTACCCTTATTTTTAAAATATTCAAACCATAATAAGCAAGAAACACAGCAATCAGCTTTGCTAACTGAACTTCTCTAGATCTGTTTGGTAGTTCAGTACTATTGACTCAGAAATCAAAGTCTGGCTACCAGAAGTCGTCAAAAAGACTGATCAAAAAGAACAGGTGAGAAAAAAAAAAAAAAATCACATTTGGAGTCTTTTAAAGGCAAGTTACTTGTATATCATTCTTTTCCAGCAAGGGTGTCCAACTCACTTGACCCCGTGAGCTCAATGAGTGGCATGAGGTCAGTTTATGGGCTGGATCAGGCCCATGGACCAACCCCGCCAACACATACTCTCCTGTAAACCTCATCCAGTACATCTGACTACAGACCTAGTGAGCACCATGGGCAGTGCAGACTGGGAACTAGCTTTAGTGAGTGCCACAGGTAGAGCACACATCCTAATCCACCACAGTGCATAGGTCAACAGGGGGTCAGATTATGGGGCTTCACAGACCACATCTGTGGGCCATGTTTGACACCCCTGTTTCACAGAATGTAATGTGGCATCATATAAGATATGTGCCTGGGAAGTACTGTATAAGAAAAAAAGGTGCCAACATCAGCTTTTTAAATACAGGGCAAAAAAAAAAAAAAAAATTCTTA